GTTTGGTGATTTACATTTGTTTATCAACGTTATCAATGGCGTTATGCTGATGCATTGTGAGGATGTAATCATTTTGAGACGCTGCATGGCTACATACATCTCGATGGCTGTTCACTTCAACACGTTGTTCGCTAGTCAGGTGACAATTATTCTCACTTTTCACAATGCTTCGTTCATCTATTAGTGTCCACTCAAATTGTGGTTCAAATTTAGCGAATTGTAAGTATTTGTTAACTGGAACACCTTACTTAACAGTGACATTTCAGTGGTTGCATTTTCCAAGAAATGAATAAAGTTTAATCACAGCCTCCGGGAGGATTATCAAAGAAAACGTTCTTGTGATACGCTTCATTTTCAGGGATTCTTTTTGATAATGCCAACACTGCTACGGTGTTACAGTCAACNCGATCAAAACGTTCTTCTGATACGCTTCATTTTCAGGGATTCTTTTTGATAATGCCAACACTGCTACGGTGTTACAGTCAACGACAGACGAATGCGTTACTTTGTCGAACCATAGAATATGTTTGTAAACAGTTCTATGTGCTGCATCGAAAACCGTTCTTCCTGCAGATGGCTGGCGCTGTAGCGAATATTTTGGACACGAACGATAACGATTTTGAAGTGAATCCAATGAAAGTGAGGAAAATTTCTCAATTTTGACCAGTTCAATTGGTTTGATCCCATAGATACGCCTTAAATTGTGATTTTAGGTGAAAGCAAAATATTGGTTCAATTTGTTGAAAAGTATGGAGGATATGGCGAGTTTGGAGGATCCGTTGGATATTCTCGGACTTGTCAATGAGACGAAACCACTTCGAGTAAACGCTTCATTGCCTCTAATACTCAAATTTGTCTGTTCAAATATCCAGAAAACGTTCTAAAAATTCATACGACTTACGATTAAATTAATCATCTCTGCTCAGTTTAAAATGTTCAGTCTTCAGTTATTTAAGGCGTTGGATTTATGCTATCGTGATGATCCGAATGCGTTCAGTATGTTGACAGATGGCTTGGCCAGTTGTGTCACCGTGTGTGCGTTTGCACCTGACTCAAGGCGTTCCTATCAAATGCTTGTATGTTGTCACTTTTCGTCGCTTAACTCCCCATATTTTCCACCCTCATCAATTTACTGCTTTCAAACTGTTCTTACTGACTATTTTATCGTCATTCACTGAAATTTTATTATTCAGTGCCGAATCCATAAAAAATTTTTCGTCTAAAGTGGAATGCGAGCGAGCGATTGAATTTTTTCAGTTGGTAATGCAAGCAACGTTACCGTACTTTGTGGAATGGGCGGAGCGGGAAACACTGGCCAATAATAACAGTGCTGCGGCCGTAAAGCACGAAATAACCATCTACAGTACCCTTTGTGTTGAAATGAAAGCGCTGGTGAATTGTTGCGAAATTTTAGCGAGGTAAGCATATTATCACTGAAAGGAATGTTCTTTTTGTGATACTGTATGATTCGCGGAGAACTGTTATTGGATGGTTTTTGGTGGAAATTTAGTTTTTTTTTAAATTTTTGGCGAATTTAGTTTGGCTTGTGCTTTTTTGTGCTTCGCGAGAGTTGTTTAAGTTGTTTTTTGTGGAAATTCAGAGGTCCCACTCGAACATTCGATATAGTAAACAGTGTGAGTGATCGAGGAAAGTCATTTATCGCTGACTCACCACAATTTTTCGATCCACCGACGGTGATCGAAGATGAGGCGAAGGTGCACCACAAGTTAGCAGCCTTCCCGTTTTATTCCGTCTTAATTTTCAAAAAAATATTTCAGCAATTATCACATAATTCTTCTCACTACGATATGGAAAGGATTGGAATCTTTCTCAAAAGCTAGGGTTTCTAATTTTCAAAAGGGAGTATTTCAGTGCTCAACAAGCATTTCTTCTATTCTAATGCACGAAAATTTCCTGCGATTCGTTGACATCTTCAGGAAAGAAGTCTGTTAACACATTTTTAATGATGCAATACAATAAAATTAGGAATCAGTTACTCGATATTGACTGAAGTGCTCCTAAGTTTCAAAACTACCTGTGTACATGTTTATTAGGTTGGTATTTTTTTAGTGAAAGGAATTCGACAAAAGAGAAGAAAAGTGGCATTGGATGGGACAATACTGCGGGTAATTCAGAGATGCAACGTGAAATGTTTCGAAGACCTCGAGATGCGATGCTCCTTTTGTGTGCAACATTCATCGATAAGGTCACGCCACGTCTAAAAGACCTCGCAAAACTCGCGTCTCCAGCTGAACATGTTAAAATCCCGGATGTCTTCGATCACAAATGCTATGTGGTGAGTTCTTAGTTTCCCATAAGATGATGTTGACTGTCGCTGTAAAGAGGGTAATGATATATAGTGATATTCGTTGCCTTATGGTTTTATA